CCCCAAAACCCCAAAACCCCAAAACCCCAAAACCCCAAAACCCCAAGTATTCGTATATGAGTTGAATTTAAATAATTTAAAATGGAAGATTCAGACATCACTACCGATAATCAAGCCATTGAGGAGATGATTCTTGAATACTTCAAGTTCCATGACATGACTGAAGCCTTAGAGAATTTTGAAAAAGAACGTGCTAAAAATAAGGAACTCCATGAAGAGAATGAGGAGTCCACCCTCAATCAACTATGGAGTGAGGAGAATAAATAAAGAGGCTAAGGAAAATATCAAAGAAGAAGAGCTAAAGGAGCTCCAGAGGCAGCACAGCTCTGTCCTCCAGTCAGCTAGGCAAATTTTTTCCATTGCTATTAATTGTCTACAGCAATTGCATAATATTAAGGATGGCAACAGCATGACTGATAACTTGGGGGAAACCATTGAGAATTATAGAAATCAGCTCGGCAAATATCATACTATTCTAACCACACAAGGAAAATGAGATAGGTCAGAACTCTTCTCAGAAGCCGTCATGAATGAGCACAAAACCAAATTCATTGCAGCCAAGAAATCCAAGGACTGGCGAGCAGTGGTTGAAGTTCTTCTTTCTCTAAGAGTAAATGCACTGCAAATATCTCCAGAGCTCAGAAAGAACCTTGTGTATGAATTGATTAGAAACGATATTTTTCTGCTACAGACTAAGCACAGGAATAATTTCCTACTTGACTTACTAAATGTTGATAAGAAGAGTTTGAGGCATGCTTTACTTGCTCTCATTAGTGTGATTGTGTCGACTCTCAAAGGTGCCGAATACATCACCTCTATTGATGAGAAAATTGTCGGTAAAATCATCGAAATTCTCGAAGAAGAAGCCGATGGTAGCGTCAACCAGCGATTCTGAGTGGCCATTCTGCAGAAAGTTTCCATCAAAGAAGACACAGTGCCCTTCCTGGTCAAGAAGAACATGATCGCATGGATTGTCAAGCTGGTTGGCAGGTCTCTGGAGTCTGAAGTTCATGTGTTCTGCTTGGACTTTGCATCTGCACTGCTGGCCAACATCTTGCATGCAAAGTCGACTTCTGAAAGTTTATCAGGAGACAAGAAGTTTGTGACTAAACTTCTCGAAACAATGCTGAAGCAGATCAGGGATAAGATCCCTACATCTGTACTGATGCATCTCCTCATTTGATTATCCTACCTTAGCAAGGATGCCTTCAATGAATGCTGTGAGAATGTAGGATTCTTTGATAGAATCTCTGAGTTTGTTGAATGGTACTCTAAAGTACCTACCTCTGACAGTGAAAACGGAGAGATTGATAAAAGAACTGTCCTTGATCTATGTGCTCACATGTTTCATCCAAAGGACGTAAGTAATGACATGTCACAAAGTATGGAGTATAATGACATGAAGCCAGAGGATAAAATCAGGGAATTTGAAAACGAGCAAGGAGATCTCATCTTCGAATGCTTCCAAGATGAGGAAAAGATGTTTGAATAAGCATCTCAACAATATTCAATTTATAATTAATTTCTGGGGTTTTGGGGTTTTGGGGTTTTGGGGTTTTGGGG